ACAGGACAGGGTTCAGATCTGTTGTTCACAGAGTCACTGGATCGTAGGCGACTCAATGACCCTTAACAACAATGTTTATAGCTATAAATAATATCATATATCTTTATAATGACATAAATTTACATAATGCCTATTGCATAAATTCACATAATGGTTGAGAAACACTTAAATGACTGAAGAGGAATAAAAATACTATCTTGTGACATCAAGATAAGACATTCACATTTCCATTTCCATACATACGTTTTTTTTCCTTTTCCTCCCCCCTTTCTTGTTGTGTACCGTTGAATCAGATCTGACTGGTACCTGAGAAGATTGCCTTTCCTTCTCCAGTGGAGCATCTGATGGATTCAAACGCTGAGTCTTCAGGATTGCAGTGCAGTTTCTTGCCAGTAGGCCACCAGAAATTTCCAGAATGTTCCCTGGAGTCAAGGATTTTGAAGCTTCGTCTGACATATTTTGAGCATGTTGCAAGGAGGGACTGGTCCTTGGAAAGGGCCATCATGTTTGGCAGAGTGGAGGGGCAGTGAAGGAGAGGAAGACCTTTGATGAGATGGATCGATTCTGTGACTGGAGAGGTGGGAATAAGTGCATTTGAGATGGCTAGGTTGGCACAGGATAGAAGAACGTATAGAGCTCTTGTACATAGGGTCGCTATGAGTCGCAAGCGACTCGATGGCACATAGCAACAACAACAGGCCACCAGAGCTCCCTTCCATAGATAAAGTTTAGTTGGATCGCAGGCCAGCCCACTCATTTATAAATTCTGTCTAAGGAACACCAACAGTGCAGGGGATGCTGAAGCACTCAGCTGGAAACGGAAAGATTGGCGCTCTGGACCCACCATGAGAGAACGACACCTCCATAAACTAGAACGGCTTTGGAAATCCTGTGGGGCACGTTCACTCTGTCCTGCAGCATCCCCGTGAGCTGGAATCAATTCGATGGACCAGAGTTCACTTTTTCAGTTCTTATAATGGCTCTGGGTCTATAATGGCAGAGTTGAGTAGTGACAGGGACTATGTGACTCACAAGGCCTAAAGTATTTCTTCTCTGGCCCTTTTTAGGAGGGCTTGCAGGTCCCTGACCTAAGGTATTCTCCTCATTTGTCTGGCTGAAGAGTATACCATCTTATCTGCAGTGGGGACTGAATTATCCTGTTTTTATTGCCCTCATTTTATAGATCGGGAAACGGAAGCAAAGTGAGGTTAAGAGGTTTGTCCTAATGTGGTGGCCACCTGGTGTGCCCATGCCATGTACCCAACAACACCACCCTGTTTCTAGCCACAGCAATAGGTTTTTTCCTGGGAGATTCTTGTTTCTTCCTTTGCCCTTACCCCCAAACGTGCGTGATTTGCATGGAGATGAGTCCATTCCCTGCTTCCAGGGCTGGGTGCCCAGGCCAAGCCAAACTCAGCAGTGCAAATTGGTCACTCACTCCAAGCACACACTCATGGCTATCCTAGGATATCTGCTGCAATTTTCAGGTCCAGGTCTTCTTTCTTCAGGGTAACAGGAGACTAGAGAAGCTGTGTTTCACGTGGTACAGAGGTGCAGTGGGTTTCTCATCTGGCTTTGTTGTGATTCTGCCAAGTTGATTTGCTGGGCCACCATCTTGCAAGAGGTTGTGGAAAACAATAGTGTTAAGTGACTTTGCAGAAACTGGTCAACCACCCTGCCAATTAAGTGACTGTGACCTATGAAGGAGATTGGTTAGTTCTGAGTCCTAGTGGGTAGATCATGCCTTGAAACTGGCAAAGGGTGGTTTACTTTCATAAGGGCCTATCTTACAGAGCTTGAGATGGGCTTCACTTTTATAAAAAAAAGAGGCAGGTTGTGTTGGGGTCCCTGAGCTGAAAACTTCCTAAAAGAGCTGTGATATGGATCTGGTGGTGGTGGTTGTTAAGAGCTGTGGAGTTGAGTATGATTCATAGCGATCCCTTTATGAACAAAAGATCTGAACCCTCTTCTATAGCTATCAGCATTTCTCTAGTGTTCCTAGGGTTTTCAAGGGCCTGTTATTTAAGAAGTGGATGCCAATGTTGCTTTCAAACCTGTCTTTATCTGGAAGCTCTACCAAATCCTGTCTACCATACGTAGCCATATGGCATTTGACATACCAGTGGCACAGCTTTCAGTATCACAGCTACCCCCAAGTTATCTCAGTACAGCACACTGACAGACAAGTGCTGTACCACTTAGAACAATGTTCTTCCCAAACACAATTAACACCAGGGCCCTGAAGCTGTATGTAATTCCAGCAGTGAAAGCCAGGAGGCTGGAAGAAGTGGCTACATGCGCGTGCTGACCCATGAGCCAGAGCTGGACACCTGCCTTACAGTGGGAGGCTCACTGGTAGAAACTGGTGCTTTCTACCCAAGCAGATATATGCACACCCATGTTTATTGCAACTTTGTTCACAATAGCAAAGAGTTGGAAACAACCCAAGTGACCACCAACAAATGAATGGAGAAGCTATGGTATATTCTCACAACGGAATACTACGCTGCATTGAAAAACAAGGAACTCATGAAATATTATTCAAAATGGATGACCCAGAGGACATTATGCTGAGTGAAATATCTGTCACAAAAGGACACATACTGCATGGTGCCACTGTTGTAAAACAGGACTGACATCGGGGCTGCGGGGGCAGGGGGCGGGGAACGGACCGAGAAAGATGGGATAAATTATGTATATGGCATTGAAACTGATGAGAGAGAGAACTATTTAAAAAGTATATATGATTAGGTATTATTGTCATGACATGAATCCAGAACGAAGGCTGCATAGTGGAATGGATGTGGGGGGAGGGATTGTATACCAACGAAAGAATTTTTCTTTTACTTTTCAAAGAGAAGAATGAACTAACTGGAGGGGAGGGGTGGGCAGAGAGAACAGTGCAACAATGAATGAATGGAAATCCAAATTCTCTGTAAATTTTAATTAAAATTAGTAATTTTAAAGAAAGAAAGAGAAAAAAAAAAAAAGAAAATGGTGCTTCTGGGAGGGCACTGGTAGGAGAATTAAAGAAGTAAGTTTCCTGAGATGGGCAGAGGCTGAGAGAGCCCAGTGGTGGCAGATGTGTTCAAGATGCTGAGTGCCGTCTTGGCTGTCGACTGTCCTGACTCAAAAACTGTCTTTTCTGAGCTGTTGCCTGTTACTTCCCTATTAACCGGTCTGTGAATTCTATGTGGCTACTGTAAGGAGCTGAGGCCAGGAGATAGAGTGCTGTGTGTATGGAGGTGGGGGCTCAGGTGAGCTGGTTGTCAGGGGGAAGATTGGCAAGTGGAGGAAATTATAGAAATCAGCTTTTGTAGACATGATTCTTAAACCACTTAGAGGTAGAAGACTTCTTATGCTACTAGATAGCAAAAGAAAAAGCAATGCTAAAGAGGTGGAGGGGAACAGGCCCTCACAGTGGATGAGCACCTAGATCCAGCTTTACCTGATACTGAAGTCCCATCAGTTTCTTAGTTAATGCAATACTTAAGTCAGTAAGAACTCTATGTCATCTGCAACCCATATGGATAAAGAGACTGTGGTCCCATAGCTAATAGAAGAGATGGGATCTGAGCACCGGTCTCGTTAGCTCTAAGAGAGCTCAAATAAAGGATTTCCTAGAAGTAATTCCGGGCCTTAATTTAGGAGCTATCCTTCACGTCCTGGCTGGCTCGGTTTAACTTCACTCCTCACGCCCTCTGGTGCTAAGGACTACTGCCAAGGTGGGCCTTTTCTCTCTGAGCTCTCAAATATTGGCATCTTCAGGGAGCATAACCTGTTGAATGGAAAGCAGCCAATTTCTCAATCCATTTGCACCCCTTTTTATAGGAAATCTCCCCCATGTTTGATTCTTTCTCACTCTGTGTTTTTAAGCAGGTCAGAAACTTATGAAAGGTGGAAATCTTGTCTATATCAACCCCACCTTCCCTCACATTTGGCCTCCTGACTAGGACCTTCTATTGTTATATGCCTGCCAGCAAGAACCCACTCATAGACCCTCCTTTTGAAAGGCTACAAATCACATGAGAAGAGAGTGCCCGTCTTTCTCCTGATGGATTCAAACCGAAGTCCTTTGGGTTGGCAGCGTAACTCTTTACCTAGTAAGCCATCAGGGCTACTTTGGTATTGAACTACAAGGTTCTCAGTAAATAGTAGCTTGAATACAAGACACCAGCACATCGCCTGGACCGCTCTTGGCCGGGTTGGCCAGGCCACCAGGGCTTGTTCGCGGCAGAGGAGGGGCAGCTGGGATGCGAGCCTCTCCTTTACAACTTCCTCGCGTAACTTTGTGTCGCCCAGCTCCAGAGGCTCTCTGGACCAGGCCACCGCCCCGGAACCCTGGCCTTCCCGCCTGCCTTCGGGAGGCCAGGACCAAGCCCGTCCTGAAGTCCCTCCCGCCGCCCCGCGTCGCTTTAAGGCGGAGGCCGGGGAGGGGGCCGACCCCGCCCGCCCGCTAGCTCCACTCTTGCTCCAGACTTCGGCATTTCCTCCCTGCTAGCTGGCGTGGCTTCGTCTTCCCTCGGAAGAGGAAACTCCCGGTGCCCGAGTAACGGGAACGAGCGAGGTGGCGAGCGGCGGAGAGGAGACGCCAGGGTCTGCGGGGCGCGCAGGGTAGGCGGCGAGCCGGGGCCGAGCCAGAAGCTGGCCGAGCGCGGGGCACCGGG